GGTCGCATCGTTAGTTGCCTACTTACAGGGGTTTTGTGGCACAAATTGCCTACCTTTCAGGGAGTTCACTACAGACGATTCGGGGAAGGGAAATCGCCCCTGCTCCCCCCCCACCCTATACCGCGCCCGGCACTTAGAAAAGTGACCCACCCATCGCATCTACGGAAAAACTCTTCCGGCTTCGAAGCCCGTTTGAGTGTGGACAAACCGGATCCCATTCGAACACCGTAGTAACTACTACTTAACTGTTTAGCGCGGGGGCCCGTGAGGAAATGCGTTTAGTTCCAGGGTACACGGATTCTTTCATCGATCCCTTTATTTTGTAAATTACAAAGTTAGACAGAAATTGGATAAATAATAAGCAACATTATACATTAATTAGTAAAATATTCAATTTTATGGCTTGCTGCACGACTATGTACACATAATTGTATTTCTAAAGTTCAGTCACTTGGCTTCATTTTCACCGGTTATTTGTACTTGCAGACTTATAATCTATCTTATTGGAAAAATTGCGTTATAATAAAAGCAAATTGTAAAAATATCACTTGTTGCTAGGGCGAACTTCTTGATTTAGCGGATCTGTAAGAAAAACCAGCACCCTAAAACAAAAAAACAAATATTCGATTTAGTAAAAAGAGACAGATGTGTGATATCATCACTAACAAAACCGTAAAGGCAAGTGGCAAGTCACTCTCGGAGCGCACGCAGCAGCCTGCTTTAGCGCGTGAAATGGATTATTTAGCGTCGTGCCAATCTCAAGCAACGCGTTGATTGAAGCACCCTCTTACCTGTCCTAAGGAAGCTAATAGTGCAAGCAGTGAGCGTTTTGGTGGTCGGCACACTTTTCGCCCGCGCTCCTGGCAGCAGAGGTTCGGAAAGCAGTCAAGAGTGTTTCGACAGGGTTTCGGAAATAAGTCAAATACTGGGGGTGGCGGAGGTGTGCATTGAAGGTAAGACATCAGCAGGCGCAGAGCTGCAAAACAAAACAGCAACATGTAACATACAGTACGGAATTGACTTTCGTCAATGAAATATTATCGGTGGAATCAGTGAAATGCCATCACTGTTTGTGGCAACAAACCTCCCGAAGGGTCAACTGCCAACCCACACAAAAAGCATAGATAAAAAAAAAATAACACTCATACAAAGAGAGAACTTTGATTTCCCTTATATCCTGGATAATATACTTACGTGCCACAAACCGTTGCCCCGGAAGCTTCTCCCACTCGAGCTGGGGAGTTCTGCAGTAGGCGTAGTGCCCGTCGGTACAGCAAACTCTGGGCCAGCAGTCGTCATCGGAGGTGCAATTTGTAATGGACCAGGGCTCGACGAGTGTTTCCACCGAACTGGGGCAAACTCGAGCAATGACGCCGAAGAAGGCTGAAAAGTTGGAACACAAACAGTCAACAACTCTACCCGACTCGACTACATTTTCCTGTTTCAGCTGGAAGACCAAGACCAAGGACAGTTATTCAGCTTCGTTCCAGACGCTAAAGCCGTCGTTATTCTTCTAAAATGCAGAAGAGCTTTTGTCAGAAACAAACTCACGCTCGTGGGGGATGTCGGGGAGGATGGGGGGTACGCCAAATACACAGCGACGGATCCCCAGACGGTCCTTGCAGCACTGCTCTCCCACGGACTTGCAGTCCCTGTCGGACTGGCACTGGCGGGAGAACAGGGACACTTCGTCGGTAGTCGGGCACACCAGTCCTCCCCATTCATCTGCAGACAAGAAAGGAAGAGGAGGTGTCAGTAACAAGCACATTTACCGCAGGTGGGTGAGTGGGGAAGTACTGTACATTCAGCAGTGTTACCCGAAAGTCATAAGCTCACTCGGAAAACACATTATCGACAAAGATAATGTCGTAATACTAAGAAGCGAGATCGTCATCGTCACGATATCACCTGACACGCGTGTGTGTGTGTGGGGCAACGAAAACAACGGCCGGGCGTCGCCTCGGCAAACAATGGCGATGGGGCTCCAGCCAGATGCATGGGAGGAGCCCCCTTATGTCAGCCGGCCGGGGCGGGCCGGGGCGGGGCGGGGCGGCGACCTCTAAAGTCGAGCGGAATGTTAAAACGGTCTCCTGTTCCTGCTGGCGGGATGCGAGGAGGGCCTCGTATAAGGAGCCGGCTGCTGGCGCGTCGCCCGGCCGCGCAGGACAATACAGAGTTGCGCATCATGATTACAGCGTCCCCATCTGGAGAGAGAGGATCACCACCTGACGATGTCCCGTGCGGAGCCTCCCCAGAGCGCCCCCGCCCCGCCCTGCACCGCCGCATAAGTCGACCGCTATGCTCGGCGGGTGGTGGTGGTGGTGGTGGTGGTGGTGGTGGTGGTGGTGGTGGTGGCGCAAAGCATCTCTAAAGTAGAGCGCGACAAGATACGACGACATTCACCTGTCATCCTCTCGCTCTACCAAAACTACGATTGAAACAATAACGACAACGACATAAGGCTTATTTAAATAAGGCTTATTTAAATTAAGCTCAGGTGTATGTGAGCCAATCAGACGTCAAAGATATTTTGCCCACGCGTCAGTGTCAGTATGAGTCGTTGTCATGAGTTACAAGGGGCGAAACAATAATTGCTGCCAGTTTCTAAGCTGCCTGCGAAGGTGTGCAAGGTAACGCGTCCTCGCGAATAGGCTGGCCACATAACGGCAGTCTCTCCAGGCCAGGAAGGGCACCCCCGGCCAGGAAGGGCACCCCCGGCCCCGGCCAGCCCCGGCCGGCATTCTCACACCGACCGCCACCACACCGCCGCCGCTGGAAGTCAGTATAGTCGGTGCGGCTGGAACTCCAGGAGGAGGGGCCTCGGCCTCCCTTTGTCGGCCGCTCGGCCTGCACTCTGGACTGGGGGGTGCTGCGGTTGTTAAGCCCGTCGGGGTCGGGGTGGGCGCCGAGGGGTCGAGGGCATTATCGACGGGGCTAAAGGGCCGGGCGGGGCCGGGCGGGGGCCAGCGCCGCGCCAGTGAGGCATGTTAGTAGCATTGTCCACATTCCTGGAGCGCGCGGCTGGAGAAGTGCCGAGTCAGTCTCCAGCAGCAGCACTCGAGCGCCGGCGCAGGGCTCCAGGGGGGATGGTGTTGTGTGAGAGAGAAGAGGAGAGAGAGCTCCGGCCGGGCTCCAGGGGGATGGGGTGTGAGAGAGAAGGGGAGAGAGAGCTCCGGCAGGGCTCCAGGGGGATGGAGAGAGGGGGGTGGGGCAGTAAGTGGAAGTGGAAGTGATTCCGGCCGAGGGCGACGGTGGCGTGCCCCCGGCCTTCCCTCTAGACGCCTCCGGTCCGGAAGCCGCCCCCGTCGAC